CAGGTGGTATCCGTTATGATACAAGTACAGGTTGAAGCAACTGTGCAATCCCGAAAGGCTTTTGCAGCCTTTTTTGCAGCTGAGGATGGTGGTTCGGTAAAACCATCGAAACTAGTCCTGTGAAAATTTTGAAAATTAACGCTGATTTTTGTTGTTTGACTTCTGAATTAGTACTTATTCGGCGTGTTATTGTGTCTTAATTAAACTAAACCAAACCTAAGCGACTTTTAATATAATAAGCACAGCTGTTGGAAGAGACAATGAATAACTCAAAGATGATGGCGTTGCAGTTTTACTCGCCAGGTTTAAGCTATATCGGCAGCAAGGATCGACGGACACAGTCGGATCAATATCACAGTTTAATCTTCTTCTGCACAACTGAAATATGCTACAATGCTTATGCAACTCTGCGATCTGCTACAGAATCGACTTTGAATGGCTATTCCTAAGAACATATTGTCGATTTAGTTACCTAGCCTCAATTTTTTTTTTATTTCAAGAAAAATATATTTAAAATTCTGCTCTACAACTTTATGAAAACGATGAACTATGGCTTTTAAATAATAATACTCTGATATCAGAAAATGAGCCTTTCTTCTGTTGAAAGCCTTTCTTCTGTTGTTCTAGGTATTGAAAAATTGATATATAAATTGCAATACTGAAAAATAGATTAGAAAATATAATGAAGCTGCAAAAGTGGTTGTTTTGTGTCTTTGGTGAAAGGCTGATTAAACACAACAAGGATCAAACAAATTCGAGCACAACAAGGAATAAAGTTCAGTTCAATCCAAATAATATTCGCAGCTATTTTCTGAGTTGTTTATAAAATTTGCATTCTTTAGTAATTTTTATAAATTTTTCGAAAGGGTTTTCGGATTATAACCTATAAAAATTTTGTCATCATCTTAAAGGAGATGTATTTCAGGGCATACCTGCAAAAAATTATATTTTTTTGTTTAAAATTTCAAAAGATATCCGTTAATTTATATACTGTCGAGTTTTGAAATTTAGGATTTTTTTAATAGAGGTAATTTTATTCTTCTCGTGCACAGTTAAAAGGAAAGGAAAAGTGATTACAATAAATTAAGAATTTCGGCAACTGAAAAAAGTGCCCCAAGACAAATTTTAAAATTTTTCGGTAAATTTCTCATCAAACTTTACAAAATTTAGTATTTAGGCATAATTTGATTCGTAGAATCGAAATATGAAAAAAAAAATCGGTATGCCATTTTAGAAAAAGTCCGATTTTTTGTCAGAATGCAATATAAGAAATGCTGTATATAAATCTAATAAATATTTTAAGTCACGCATTCGAGGCATGAGAAACATAATTTAAAATTTCGCCATTCGGCCCAGTAGAACCGGTGTTATAGAAGTGTTATTTTTTAATTCTTTTTTGTTCAACGTGTACTTTAAAGACAACATGTAATTGGAATAAAGTTAGGTTTTACATTAAGTTACTTTTAACCACGAGGAATCAAATTCAAAGATGATTAAAAATTGATATTTGAAGAATTGTAAATCTACATTCAATGGTAGAATCAACTTCCATAATTAGCTCTGGAAAGGTTTCAACACATTTCCGATAGATCTTTGTAATTCTTTAGCTGTTAACACATTGACTGCCACGGCACTTTTCGGATTCCTGTCCGAGAAGCCAAATCGATTTAATCATATTATGTGATTAAAAATGCTAATTATGATTCGTAACAATCATTAAAACATTTACAGGATTTTATTTATTTATTTATTTATTTTTGTAGAAAAGAAAGGTCCTACGAATTATCTAGTAGTCGAATTTTGTTAGACAAAGCTCTTCGCAGAAGCCCACTACGAGATGATTCGTACAGACATGCTTTGACCTGTCACCTCGATACAGCTAAAACAAGAGCTAAGCGAGTAAGTTGTTCAGTATTATGTCTAATCTTGAATCGAAAACATTACATTTTCATCGATTTTAAATATTTTTGTTTCTATTTGTTTACAATAAAATAATAAATACTAAAATATGAAAAGGGAAAGACCACTTACTGAAGCCGAACTTGAACATTTTGCTAATTTAAGCGAGTCAAAAATCTGACGAATTTTTAGTTGGAGATGGTAACAACAATAGCGATTATGTACCTTCTGATGACTCAAGTGAGTGCAGCGATAATGAATTTATTTTCTTCCACGACGCTATCCATTCATATTTACACTTATAAACTACGAACTAACTCGTAGCGGCGCAAAAGTGGCAAGTTAAGCAACTACGAGATAACTCGTATGGGCGTTCTGAAGAAGAGCGCTAATACGAGTTACGTATATCGTGTTTGGCAGTCAACATGTTAACACTCGTACGGGCACTTCAACATAGTCGTCGCTGCCTACGTTGCTGTTTTATTCTTAAATAAGCCTTTTCTTCAAATACATTAATAACTATTTCAATATCCTAATAGATATCAATAAATATTTCAATATCTTTGATTTAATGCTCTCAATTACGTTGATGCAACCTAATCCATTGAAACGAAATTATCCATTTCCATTATATTAATAGGCACATCACTAAAACAAGATTCAAAGCCAACAAAATCATGATCATTTATGTACTAAAAATAATCTTGTATACTAATGTTTTAAAATTTATTAGTCCAAAGGGGCAATTTGCCCAGAAGGACTATTCATTTCGTTTTGGCATTTTGCGTCGATTCACGATAAGCGTTGTTTCACTTTTCATATTAATGCCACCTAATATTATCGCCCTGTATTATATTTAAAGAAATTAAATAATCAAGAATCTGCATAAATTTATGTACGTTTCTCGAATTGGGATAAAACAACGGTACCTAGAGCCATGAAAATTTGTATAACGTAATCATCCATAGAATATGAGCATGTGGAAGCACTATTTTGACCCTATTTTGAAATTTGTTTTATTATCGATTTCATATTTTGTAACACTTCAAAGAATTTTTGATTAACAAACTCAACGATTTCAAAGCGAGCCATGCCAACACTGTACGAAAAAGAAACATTTTTATCTCCAGCTCGCGAGACTCTGTATCGGAAATTCTAAAGATATGCTCACTTAAGAATTAGTCTGCGATATTTCTCTTGAACTCAATTTTATGGTTTAAGTGCGTAAGTTTTATGGTTAAGAACATGATATTTAATAAATAAAGGTAACACACAAAATATTAAAGAAAAAGCCCTTTGGACGTAATTTAAAATCTGAAACCTTTCAGTTTTTTTATTTTATTTTGTTCAGTTGAAAAAGTTTGTTTTCAAATTTTTAAACCAGACTGTAGTAAATTTGGACTACGTCTTCAATTAGTCCAGATTAGTGAGCGAAGTATTGTTGTATTTAAAATAAAAATTCTAATTGTGAAAAAAATATTTCACTAAAATGAAACAATTTTCTTTATTTTGAAAATTCTGTACTGCGCATCTGCATATCTGAATCTAATGATAAAACTTTGGATCAAAAGTCAATTGTTTTCTTCTCTTACTTTTTTTTGTACTTATATTTACATTCTGTGCACATAGATCGATAAACCATATGTGATTTTGTAAGCATAAATAAGAAATGAAATTGAATTTGTAATGCTGAATATTTTAGTACATATATAAAGTATGCTTTCCCTCCTTCCAGCATGCCTTCGTGGTGTAATGGCAGCACACTCGGCGCGTATTCGAGAGGTACAAGTTCGAGTCCCGGCGAGGGCATTGCACACATTTCTCATCTGCTACTTCAAAAGTCCTAATGAATTTAAAATGGCGCCCGGACCAAAAGACGGTGGACGATAATTCGACACTACCAGGATTTGGCAAATGGGTCCCCTAATCCCCAGTCGCCGTTTAAAAGAGGAGGAGTATATAAGGTACATATTTTCTCCCTCCTTCCATCATGCCTTAGTGGTGTAATGGTAGCACACTCATTTTTCACATCTCGCGCTTAAAATAACTTAATGTCTAAGGTATTTCTCCCACTTTCCTAGCGTGCCTTTATGGTGTAGTGGTCAGCATACTGAGACGGTATTTCAGAGGTCCATGGTTCGATTCCCGGCGAAGGCGATTGCTAATATTTCATCTTGCTTGCTTCTAAAAATTACCTAATGTCTCTATAATATTTGTATTTATTTTTTTATGAATTGATTTTTGGATATTTTGTATTGTTACATATTTATTTTTGTTTAGTTATTTAGTGAGCTGTCTCCTAACGAGTTATCTAAAAAGATCTTACATTATGGAGATCCTAAATATATCAATTTGTAGAGATATTAGGATGTTTTGGAAACAGGTAAGATGAAAAATGAGCAAACGCCTTCGCCGGGAATCGAACTACGGACTTCTGGAATACCGGCCCAGTGTGCAGAACCACTACACCACGAAAAGAAGGTGGGAGATATACCTTATATACCTCCCCTTTTAAAGGGAGGGCGACTGGGGTATTTAGGGGACCCAATCGCCAAATGTGGGTGCGGAGAATCATCATCCAATAACCCTTTTAGTTCGGGCGCCACTGTAGAGACATTAGGTAATTTTTGGAAGTAGAAGAGATGAAAAATTAGCAACATCTTCGCCGGGAATCGAAGCACGGACCTCTGGAATATGCAGAACCTCTACACCACGAAGGCACGCCATTTCCGGCGAAGGCACGACATAGGATTCATGTCTCCTATTCCTATTTTAAACGTCCTTTCCAAACTGTCGAATGGTTTCTGCAAGGTGTTTGAGAACATAAACTGTAATTCTGCGTTTAAAGCTGGAAATTTAATGATGATTTTCAGGAATTTTTGGGATAAAGGGCAGAATCGCCCCCTTATTTGTTTGGCGCTTTTTACAAGAGTAAGAAGAATTGGATTTTTGTCAATTTCCTTTGACTTTTCAAGTGAAAATAGGTCGATGTGTACGTGGATAAAGTCAAGGCAGTGCGCAATGCCATTTTTGTGCAATTGTGGAAATTTTTTTTAAAGTGAAAATAGGTCGATGCCGAGTTTGTGCAATTCATAAAAACCGCCAATTAGTGGGTGATTCTGCACTCTCCCCAATTTTTGTTCACATTTTTTATAATGAATTATCTTCTGAACTTAATCTGTATGTCATGCAATAATATACAAATAACATTTCTTTTAAATCGATAATTTTATTGTAACTTCAAAACATAAAGACAAATTGTTCAAATACAAAAATAATTTCTTCGTATACTGTTTATTTATTTTTTTAAACCTTCCTTAATTTTACAAGATAAGTGAACCTCTAGTTTCCATCTTATGTTTACTTCTTAGTAAAAGACGGGATTTTGAGTTTTTATCTGCTTTCATTGCTTTTCCAACCTTTCGTAAAATTTTCATATCGTATGTAGATAGATCTTATATAAATAGATCTTATATAATTATGTTGATAATCTGGGGCATTCCATTTCATTAAACAAGATCCTATACGACATTTCTGCTATCATCCTGCCAACCATCTGCGTCTAGAATCTTCTGGTATTCTGACTCTCAGGGAAACGTCCTTGCTTTTACCTATAGATAAAAAAAATTTCCACTTTTAATCACCACCAATCCAATCTCATAAAACTAAATGACGCATAAATTCAAATATTCGAACTGAATTTTGAATATTCGGATAAGAAATGTCCCTTCGGTTACAGCCGAAAATATCGCGGACGAAAACGTTGCTGAGAAAACGTCGATGTTTTGTATCACTATGTTTTAGAACTGCGATGTTTTCTCTTTGCGATGTTTTTTCCCACGATGTTTTGTAGCACGACGTTTTCGCCTTGCGTTGTTTTCTCTGCGACGTTTTCGTCCGCGATGTTTTTACCGCGACATTATCGGCAGACACCGTCCCTTCCGCAGGTCAGATATGTACCGTTTATTCCAGCATATAATGCGCACTTAATATCGTAAATAAGATAGAAATTTATGGGTGCGCGGTATACTCAGAATAAAAATGATAGATTCAAAAATAAAGAAAATATGATCGTGCAAAATTTAGATTTCTACATGCACTCTGCGCAAAAAAAGTAAAAAAAGGGGGGGGCAGTTCTATATCTCCCGTTTTACTGGGTCGATTGACGAAATTCAAATTACGTTTTTCATGTCTCGGAAGCGTGACTTAGGATATATATTAGATTTATATATAGCATTGTTCTATAATAGGCATTCTGACATAAAATCTGACTTTTCCGAAATACATGCCAATGTTTTTCCATATTTCGATTCTACGACTCAAATGATGCCTAAATATTAAATTTTGTAAAATTTGGTACGAAATTTACGGAGAAATTAAAAATTTTATCTTGGGGCATTACTTTTTCAGTTCGCGGCAAATATAATTAATTCACTTGGTGAACATCTTAATTTATGACAAGCAATTTTCCTTTAATTTTTTTTAATGTAAACGAGCGTAAAAAAAGTCATTGTTCATTGTTTCAAATAATTTCAACAAAGTGCGTAAACCACAATTGCCGTCATTAACGCTTATAACATACATGCCAAATTTCCAAACGTTCCAATATGTATATTCACGTATATCATAGAAAATTTTGAATAGAAAACTCTTAATTTTTGCAGGTGTGCTTAGAGATATATCTACAGATCTGTACTTCAGGATGATGTAAAAATTTTATAGGTTATAATACAAGAAGTTTTCAAACAATTTGTAAAAAATATTTTAAATTACAAATTTAAAAATAAATCATAAAAAATGCGCGAATTATATTTGGATAACGCTAAATTTCGAAATCTGGAAGAAGGAATCAAGTAAGTTTAATACAAAAAAGGATATATATTAATAAATGTATATAAAATTCAATTAACATCGAGGGGCTAAAATTTTGAGGGCAATTTTTTTAAAAACCACTCGTGCGATGTTTACAAAACGTACCAGCTTGGAATAATTTGGGTCGTCGAATCGAAATACGGAAAAAAATTGACACGTCATTTCAGAAAAAGGGCGATTTTGTGTCAAAATACCCATATTAAAACAATGCTATATATAAATCTAATATATATCTGAAGTCGACCTTTCGAGTCATGAAAAACGCAAATTGAATTTTGTCAATCGGCCAAGTAGAACGGGAAATATAGAACTGTACCATTGTTTTACCAGCAGTGTACCTAAATGCTTTTTCTGGTGATTCTGACGATTTAATGGGACCCAGGTTTTTCACAGTGTTATCTTCTAAGAGTAGACCATTTCGTTACTCCTTTACGCAAAGCCCAATCGTTCTTCGGCATATTAATTTTTGTGATTTCATTTTTCTTTCATTAACATTTCGAGCTTTCACCAAAACTAAACATCCTTGCTGCAGCACGATTTCCATTTCCTTTCCCAAACTGAATAACTTTGTTCCTGAAACCAGTACTATGTTTGTTTCGTTTGGAAGGAGCCACATCTGCTGCTAAAAGTAACACTAAATCAACTGTATTTCAATTAAAGCGTATGCTATTTACTATAGCCTTCCAGGTTCACTTCAAAATCACGATTTCAAATGTCTACGGAAAGAAAACGTCTGATTCCTAATTCCGCGAATTCATTCGGGTTGGATATGCATTCGTACGAGTCCTTTCTTCAAAGCCTAGAATAACATTCTTGTGCACACCGGCATTAAATAAAGCTTACCCTCCTTGCAGAATTATTTAATCCCACAGGCATTTCCTGCCTTTACAGACGCATATTGTTCTCCTTATCGCTTGTCATTTCAGTATATCCTTTTTCGATAGCCTGGGAGAAACCTTCGAATGAATGTCTTCAAAAGATGAGAGCATTGCATTGTCATCTTTCAGATTTTGAGAAAATTGGTTGTCATAAATTACGAAGTTACCAAGTGAATTATACTTGGCGCAAACTGAAAATGTAATGCCCCAAGATAAAATTTTTAATTTCTCCGTAAATTTCGCACCAAATGTTACAAAATTTAATATTTAGGCATATTTTGAGTCGTAGAATCGAAATATGGAAAAACATTGGCATATCATTTCGGAAAAGTCAAATTTTGTGTCGAAACGCCTATTATAGAACAATGCTATATATAAATCTAATATATATCCTAAGTTATGCTTCCGAGACATGAAAAACGTAATTTGAATTTCGTCAATCAACCCAGTAGCACGGGAGATATAGAACTGCCCCCTTTTTTTTCTTTTTTTGCGCAGAGTACATCTAGAAATCTAATTTTTGCATGATCATATTTTCTTTATTTTTCGTAAAGAAATGGGTACGCGTTATACGGCGAATAACCTAAAAATTAAAAAAAAATATATAGTATGAAATTATAGGTGAGCGTTATACATCGATACGCGTTATACACTGGAATATACGGTAACTAAATAACGTAAATGAAAAATTATATAGCTTTTTTTTGTATTTTATTTCAACGGAGATCACGCATTTGAAAGCGGAAGATACTTTTATTGGATTAAAATAAAAGACAAGTTTTATTTATAGACATAATTAAACCATGAATTATATATTTGCCTAAACACACAACGGTCACAATAATATTTGCACAAATGTAAAGCAGTCAAATTAATTTTTAATTGATTATACCCTAAAATAAAATATATAATCTTGTGTTCATTTCTATCATGCGTAATTAAGAAGGAAATTGTAATTTTATTTGAGCAAAAAAATGGCAAACAGCCTGTTTGTGTTGAACCAAAATTAAACATTTTTCTTTTGACTCACATAATTATTTAAAAATAATAAAATTTTAAAATTTCTTAAAAAACAAGAGATAAGTAATATGCATCATGTCTACAATCGTCCTTATTAAACTTTTATTTTCACAACCGTAGGTCGTAGACGTCTATCAGGATATTTATTACTCCATTCGGGATTTCAGAAGGGTATAATAAAAAAACTAAGACAAATACAGCAAAAAGAAACATTGCACTATATACAGAAATGATTCAAGTTTTATTTGCAGTCTTTACAGGCGTTCTATGTGTGAAGCCTTGGTCATACGGCATACATAAATATGATAGCCCAGTTCCTCTTAAATTCTATTTAACATGGTCCTATCAACGGTACTGGCAACACGTGAAATCCTTTCATGCAATTCTGCCAAGAATCATATTAAGAAAACAAAGAAAAACATCGCCGGATTTAATACCGTATGCATTTTACTTCTGGGGCTATGTAAAAGACTTTGTTTCATTCTGGGGCTATGTAAAAGTCCTTGTTTCAGCAATGAAGACTAAATTCTGAAACAGCTTTTAAAATTTAGACTAAATAAAATGAAACATATTTTGAAATTTTGACTAAATAAACTGAAATATTTATTTATTTATTTTGACTAAATAAATTGAAATAATTTGAAAGATCTTCATTAATATCTTTAGAGCTCCTGAAAAATTTTTCTTTAAATTAGCATTAAAAGAATTTCGTTACAGCCTTTTCTGTCATTTGAATGAATGATTTGTTGTTCAAGAGCTGATTTCAGTTGCTTTTAAGGATAAATTCTTTCTTAAACTCGTTTCTCTTGAGCAAATTACCATAAATTATCTTCAGACAAATGCGTCTTGGTTAGTTAAATTTTTTAACAGCATAATGAAGAAACTGTAATAATAGTACACGATGAATTTCCTAAATGGCATTATATTAGATTTAGTTCACGAGAAGTTGATTTTGTTCTAAATTATTTAACTCCTCTGTCTGTAAGAAATCTGATGAATGAACCTTGTTAACATATTCGAGACCCTCCATTCCGAGGCTTAGTGAAACAGTGAACTTAAAATAAAAATAACATGGTAGGTTTCATTAATTAATACCTATTATATACAGATTTTGAATTAATTTTTAAGTACAATTAAGTGCTTGCAGATGACATCAATTCATTCATTTCTAAAATGGTGCAAAAATCAGTATCATACATACTAATTTTTCGGGTCAGCCAAACGATTTTTGAATTGTTTCTTGCACCAATTCATATACTGTATGTTATCATAATATTATATTGTTACGAATTTGGTATTTAAAAAGCTAATATTAGTTCAATTATAAATTAATTGGTTTTATTTCTCGCGCAGTGCAGCGCGTGACGAATATTAAAAGAAAGCTAAGCCGGAAAATTGAAAATACAAGAGCGCGTGCATTAAATAAATAAATATCTCTTTTTGATTTCGAGAAAGTACTGGAAAATTCTAGCGCGTGATTTTAAAATCTTATAAAAGGAGGAAAACATCTCAGTTTGTAGTAGTTGCTTAGTTTGTTGTTGTTTAAAAAAAACTACTGTTGTTGATTGTAGCGAATTCGTGGATTAGCGTTCTTTAGCTGTTTTTGAATTACGTTCTATTGGACATTTGAGTAGTTAAAAGAAAACTACTGTGAGATATTGTAATACTGCGTGATAATTTGAGAAAAGAAAATTTAAGCATTTTTGTTGTGATAATAATAAATTTTTGTTCATTTTTTTCATCGGACTTGTGCATTCATTTCATAACGAACCCGTACGCACGCAACAATTTTTGGTGTCAGAAGTGGGATTTGAATGCCAATAACAAGAGCGATGGAAGAA